GACTTTTGAGATCCATATAGATATAATATCATTCATTACGTATATAGGGGTTCCATTACAACAAAATCTGCAAGTACTACTAATTCAAGATTGTAATTCAGATATTTTCTTACTTAATTCTCTAATTGCTTTGCAGCAAAACTAGAACTTTTCCAAATTCTAATCGTACTAACCTTGGAACTTATGTCAATATTCCGTGTACATCTTAACATTTTCGTGATACTTATCCATTCAATTAAATAATATATCCGTCCTCAATAATGTTTTCAAAGAAAATATAAGTATTGACTATATTCTTATCATTCTTTAGAATTCATTCGACTGTTTTTCGAACTTCTTTACTATACATATTCTTATCCTCTTAACAGAGTCTACATGGCAAAGAAATGCAACCTTAAAGAATCCACACTTATGCTTGATCAACTTAGTATACAATTTTTCTCCTGATCCTTTAAGCTTGATCACACATGACTTAACATAAATTTTAAAAGTTGAATAACTTGATCAGACCAACCAACTACCCGCAGATGGACAATTGCGCCAAAATTTGATTAAATTAGTAGACCTTGCTCAAATAATTCCAAAACCTTGAGGTAAACCTTAATCCCCTCAGATACAATTAATACTGGCACTCTATGTAGTCTAATTGTCTCCATAAAAAAAATTAGTTCAAATAGGAATGTAATGTGTAGTCTTTGTTACCTGCTCCATAATTACCCAGATTGAATCTTTTTATTCGATGACAAAAGTAACTCAGTTATGAAATCCATCGAAACTCTTTCTCATTCTACGAAGAACTGAAATTTGTTTACTTTCATTCCAAATTTATTTAACACCTTATTTCCAACATGTCAAGCTTATCAGTTACACCTCTATAAAATCCTTTATCACACTTGCCTCTCTAAACCGTTCACTTATATTCCTTATGTCTTTATCTCTTTACAGAGTGAAAATATTTCTTATTTCTTTATTATCTTAACATAACCTATACTCTTAAATTTTCCTTGATTTTCTTATCTTATCCTGAATATGTACTTATATATTCATCCTTTATTCTAAAAAAATCTTGAACTTTCCTCTGCCTTTATTGTACTATCTTTTTCTTCCAACAGACAACCAACGTTTAACATAATATATCACTTTCCATATCTTTCTTATTAACGCTAAAAGTCTTAACCTTTTTCTTTGTCTTACTTTTGACTTTGTAATTTGACCACTTCAGGTTCTCTTATTTAACTCCAATGTAGTCACTCCAATGCTTTTACCATCGTCTTCAAGCAAGTACAATATTTGCTAACTTTTACTCATAACTCAAAAACTTTCCTTCTTTATTTAAAAAAACTTACTTGTAACATAGATCATCTTTTTTCTTATACCTCAATATTCTTTTCATATCAATAGGAGAAACGAAATCTTAATACTTGTACTCATTACTACTTGCCTAATTTATTGCACCTACTTAACTTTGATAGTTTACCCTACTTGTATAGACACTATTATTTATTAATCCTTACATTTCTCTACTTGAATCTTAAAGAACTAGATTCAAATATGCACCTAATCATTTAAGATACTCTTTCTACTTCAATTTGTACAATTTCTAATGAGTCTTCTAATCCAGTTTATAGAATTTACATTTAAATCGGACTTCTTATTGATTAACAATTTCTAACTTGTTATTCCTTTAAAATCGTTTTCAATTGTCCTCTATAACACTACAATTACTTTTACTACAGATCTTATTATTACTTATCCTGCATTTCCTTGTTTCTTGCAATCCAAACGACTATTTCCTTTCCTACTAATAACTTGCTTAATGGGGAGGAATCTTAGAGAATTTTTCCATGAATATTTTGAATAATCAAAGAACTCCAACATATTTTGAATTCAAAATAATTTTTTCACTTCCAGCCAATCATAACTCGTACTTATTTTATATTTTCTACCATTTCAACATTAACTTGTTTCTGAAGTTTAATCATTAATTAAGATTCTACTTCATGTATTTATTTTATCTTACCAATCTATTTGGCTTAACAACCAAATATATCTAATATGCCACCATAATTATTTTAAATCCCCAGAAGAGGATACTTGTTCTTCTCTGCTACTTTACTTTATGGACTATAATCCATCCATAATTTCATATCTTATCTTTCTTTCTACTTCTTAACCTAGAGATAATTCATATAACCCTTATAGATACACAATTAGATACTCACTAGCAGTGAAAATATCTTTTAACTTAACTATGAAAGTTTGAGTATCCTCCTTATCCCTTAAGAAGACTTAACAATCCTATAACCATAACTTCATAATAGTTACTTTTAAAAATTCTCGTAGGGAGCCTCTTTACTCTTTTTATCACATATAATATATCATACACATGCTTGACCTCTTAGCAATGAGTCCACTCCATCCAACTTATTTGTTCCAGAACAGTGAAGACTATTCAACCAAATTTTCTCGTCATTAACCAAAGTTCGGCAAAAATAGAACCTTCTTCAGCTTCATCATTAAACTCAAATACTCCTAAACTTTTAACTCTTTAACAACATTTATTCTAGTAACTTAAAGAATTAAACGATTGAAATTGCTTCAAAATCACATTCATCATTCGAGAAGTACTCTCTAAGGCGCTTGTTATTCACTTTATTGTATTACTACTTCTCTTATTAACTTTAATTCTCGCTTCACTTCGGAAGACCTCTTAGTCTTACATCTCTTAATATCTAATCACTGAACTATACTAGCAAGGACATCATACTTATTACACTATCAGATCAGAGATACTTATTATTTCGTTGACATGTATAAACTAAACATTTTTTACAGTCGATCAATTGGTTTTCAAAAACTTGACTCAACCTAGGCTCTGATATCATTAAATGTAACACCCCAACCCGTATCTGACCAGATACGAATCCGAGGTATTACATTGACTTTTCAAACTCTTTGTCTCTTTTAAAATACAATTAAAATATGAAAATGAAAACAAAACTTAATAAATCATAGTTAAAACATATATCAAAGCATCTATACTTTACATTTATGGTAGATGCCAACAATTTTTCTGTGACACTATCACATACTATTCACATTTCTCTAATCTGAAAATCTGTAAAGTTATGTTGCCCTGTCCGCGCTTATTCTGCTTACTCCTCGTATACCCTTGAACCTACGTGTGAAAACACTCACACGCTGAGTCATTGACTTTGTGAGGCATTATGAGTAATATAAAACAATAAAACATTTATATAAATTTACAAAAGAAATGTTTAATTTTTACAAAACACCACAAGTCTTATAACTTATAACATCTCTTATTAAACACTGATAAATTTAAACTTATTTTATTCTTGATTATACATTTCATATCATTAACAATATACACTTTTAGACAATATATACTTGCATAATCATTTTTACTTTCATATAAACTACATATAAATTATACATTTTTCATTTAATATCAAATTGTTTAATTGGCCCAACATATATCACTGAGAAATCATGGTATGTGAGTACATTGAGGTTGTGCACTAATGTTGTCATCACAGCTCACATAATTTGCACCGAAGTGCCACATAGTTTTTTCCCGAATGACCACGTATAATTTTTCCCGAATGACGATGTAGAAATGTCCCGCATGACCACATAGATTGTCCCGAAGGACAGCGTAGAACCCTCGACTCTTGGCATACCAACTATACCTCTAATTCTCATACATATACCTTCGGCTTTAACTTATAATTATTTTTTATTTTAACTATTTAAAGTGTCTTTTTCTCGTAGTGTTCGTTCACAAAGGGTATCTTCGCATAGAACTTTTTCACTTATCACATTCACGTAGAACCTTTTCACTTAGCACATTATCATATATATATATATATATATATAACATTTTCATATAGAACACTTTTCACTTAGCACATTATCATATATATATAAATATATATATATCATTTATTCACATAGAACTTGTTCTCATAACATTTAATTTCACATAGCATTTATTCAATATTTATCATATACTCATGGTTCGTACTTATTTCATATTACATATCATATTCCACTTATCAATTTAATCATATAAAGAATATTCACATATAACATAATAACATATACTCATAACATTTTACTTTGGTCAAGAACATTTGAGATTAGCTCATTGTAAGCCATTCTCCAATCATAAATAGAATAAGTAAATAGACTCACCTTTGCCTCACGTAAATTCTAAACGAAATCTTTTTCTTTCAATCTTTCGTACTATGTCGATTCCTTTAGTACCGTTGCGATCTAAATCTACAGATAGACATTTCCCATATCAAAACCAATCTCTGCTAACATTTAACCGATTAACACTACATAAATAAAACGAAAGACTTTAGAATTTTAAGTTTCAGAGTTAATAATATCGGTACCCCTTCTATAGTACCGATACTTATCTCTTATGGTACTGATACCCCCTCAGTATCGATACTTATCTCTTATGGTACTGATACCCCCTCAGTATCGATACCATTTTGGCATTATGGAATTTCGATTTCAGATACAATATCGATACCTTCCTCTTGGTATTGATATCACCACCTCAGTATCGATGTTGATTAAATCATTATTGATATTGTTCATTCGGTTTATATTATTTCTTGCAATTTAACCTTATAGTATCGGTATTGTTCTTCCAGTACCGATACCCTTACCCAGATTAACTTCAAAAATTACCCAACTTTCACTTAAATCTCTTACCCTTAACTCTATTTATAACTTCAAACTCATTTACACTTATTCCCACTAACTTATATCATTAAAACCCCTTTAACATAAAAAAAATCTACCATATAACTCTTGGAACTAAAAATCATATCAATTTTTCAAACATGTTTTTAATCCTTCCTAACACTTCTAATCCCTTAATTAAACCCTTGACAAGTCAAATATATCTTTAAAAATCCAAATACAATCAATTCATTTAAAAACCCATTTTACTAAATCACCATTAACTCATCATTCCTTTACCTTCTAATTATCTTTAAGCTTCCTTAAGTTTCTATACCACCCAAGTATTAAAACCCATCTCAAAAACGAAAGAAAAACCAGTTTGAAAGGTAACTCACCTTAGCATGGAGTTTCACATGGAAGAGGGGAAGAAGATAGGAGAAAGCTTCCACACTTTTCATTTCTTTCTTTTAATCTCATTTATAAAGCCTTAGTAAAAGATATTTTAAGATCCTTTATGCTAAAAGACAATTATGCCCTTGTATTTTTCCATCTTTAAAAATAAATCCTTCGTAAAAATTCCCAAATAAGTCCTTAAACTTTTTAATTTATCAAAATTAAACCACTAAATTTTCAATATTTACACTTTAGTCACTAACCCGAAGTTTGGGATGTTACACCAAGTACCTCATATAATTTGCACCAACGGTGCAATATATAATGTACACGAATATGCTATATCAAAATCAATTAACAGTGATCACTTTACCTCATGGCATGTTAATTGTACCTAGGGCTCTCTATGCAATATGCAATGTGCTTTACTATAAAACCATACCATTTGTATATCCAATATATCCAATCAGTAACATTTTCAAACACCATTTACCAAAAACAGTGCGTTGGACAGTTCATATCCTAAAGTATATCATAAATCATTTTAGTAAATATTATGGAAATATTTCATACTTTGATTCAAACCATTCTTTAAATAATCTGAGGTTGACTTATCGCAAATCTTCCTCAATCAGTATAATTAAATAAATAAAATGCATTCACCTTATTTGCCTCACTATCAAACCTTTACAATGATATTCTTTTTAATCACATACTTGATCCTTCACTTTTGACTCGACTCGATCACAAGACTTATCGCAGTCTAGATAAAATCAAGCACAAACCACAATATTCAAAATATATGTTAGTATTATACTAACATAATCCAAATCTAATGATATAATCCATAAAATATAATTTGATACTTATTCGATATAAAATCACTTCACTATTCCATAACAACTACAAGATTTCCAAAATGACACTTCAATTCACAATATTTTCATATTCATCAAGTCACTTAACTTTCACAAACCCTGCATTTTAATCACCATTTATGAATTCTTTTAGAATTCATACGAACCTTTTCCAATTAACTCAATATGGTCATTCACCATTTTACTTATTTCAAATCAAACACTAAAATTTCCATCATAAAAATAATATACTCAATCTAGTAATTTAACATTTACAAAGTTGCGTTTAAATTCCTAATTTCCTAATCCATTCGAATTAACCACCAAACTTCACCAACTTTTGCGTTTTGATCCAAAACAATATTCAAAATTAAAATTCAGCATCCAAGTAATAATTTCCAGCATTAAACACTCATAATTTTTTATTTACACATCAATGTCATGTAATTCTAAAAACTTGCAAAATGGTCCTTTTACTATCACAATGTTCCAAATTGATCCAAATCAACTTCCAAAGCATGTAGATTTCATCTAATATCAATTATATGCCCTAGGAAATTTTTTAATATTTCCCCCTTTTTTTAACCCTTTTGTCGAATCTTCATTAAGCAACAGGGCTTGATTTTCAATCAATTCCAAGTATGAATTCAAGCTCCTATGGTTATATTCATGCAATTACAATCATTCTAACATTAAATTCAATCAAAATTCAACCAATTTCCATGAACCCTAGCTATGGCTGAAACTTATACATGCAATTCTAGATATTTTAATCATCACACATGTTTGGAAATTAATCTACAACATCAATAACATAAAAATTATCCTTTAATTCTTCAAAATTCAATATGTTCTTCACCCTAATCATGAATTTCATCATCCAAGCATGTTTTCCATGAACTAATTATACGAAATGATAGAAAATTACAAGTAGATTAATTCTCTATCTAATAGCTTAATCCAAAAACCAACCATAGAAGTTTAAAAATAAAATTGAAACACTCTCTCTTACCTATAATGGATTTCATGGATGGATGAGGAGGAAGAATCTGAAATTTTATTTATTTTTCCACAAATATCTCATAATACACTTGGCTTTAATCTAATACAATAGAATTTAAAATTCAATAAATGTGAAATTATCATTTTGCCTTTAATGAAACATGATAAATTCAATTTGTCATTGAAGTAACTTTCATTTTAATATTCCAAATTCAAAGATGAACAAAAAAAAATGACTTTCCACCTTTCCTCATGCAATTTTTGAAAATTTGCAACTTAGTCACTAAATTCACAATTTTAGTTTTACATGGAAAATCGACCTTAATTCCACTTATACATGTTAAATTTCACTGTTATAAATTATGAAAATAATAGCTCCCATATTTTTTTATCATCTTTCAAAATTTCGTAAAATTCTGATTCAATCCGATTATCCGAATTCCTATTAGACTTTACTACTTTAGAGCTTTTACTACAAATCCCGAATCAAAATTTCGATTCTCATGAAAAATTCAATTTCTTAATAAAATATTCATTTACAGTCCAAAATATATAAATTTTAAAAATTATATTTTTGGTCCCTAAACTTCTACAAAGTTATACTTTAGCCATTAAACTTTTAAAACTTATATTTTGGTCACTAGCCAAAAATTTAGGGTATTACATTTAAGGAGAGGAGATTTGTAATAGCTCAAACTCCAAGCTAGTAGTTTTGGGTTGACTCAAGAGATATGTGGGCCTCGTAGAGTTTGTAATTTAAGTTGTTGGGTCAAGTGGTGCTTAAATTACTGTAAATTAGCTTCGATTGGCCATAAAAAAAGGATTTTTACATAGTAAAAAAATAAGGAGTGACCAAACGTGTATTTTTTTTTGAAAAGATGATAAACCTTTTATCTTCCTTCATTTTCTTCTCTTTATTTTCTTCTTTCTCATTTTCTTCTTTCTCATTTTCTTCTCTCTCGTTTCCCTTTCTAAGTGCCATAGCTAAGAGTAAGTTCCTTAAGCCTTTAATGCTTTTTTAAACTTAAGATGCATCCCTAATCCCTATAGAAATATTTTTTAAAGATACAAAACCTTGGATTTCTTATTTGCTAGAGAAAGTGTGTCACACCCCGATTTTAAATGAGAATTTAAACCATTTTTTTATTTCAATTAAATAACTAAATTGATATTTTTTTTTAAATTTATGGGTCAAAGTATGAATTATAGGAAGTTCAGGGACCTGAACTAAATTTTCCATTTTTATACCCAGTGGAAAATAAATTTTCCCCTCGTCGGTTAAAACCCCAAAATTTTCCTACAATTAGCTAAAATCCCTAAACCTCCAATTCCCTTCCTTATTGACTCCTTTACCGGCCAAATCCACCACCATCTGGCCACTCCAACTCGAGCCACCACCACCAATAGACTCATCATTGAACGATGATCATAACCCGACCCCTAGCCCGTTGTATATCGTTGCCGTTCGCCGTGGAGGAGCCAAGAAAAGCCCATCAATAACCCCGTCGTCGAGTGAATCTTCCACGATTTCGGCTGCCTTTGGCGTTGTCTTGCCTCACTGCTTGCACCATTAGATTCACAATCATCGTGCGCTCAAAACCCAATCGGTTTTGTTCACTGTTGAAGCGCCATCGCCGCTCACCGGTGTGGGTAAGTTACCAATCAATTTTTGGTAAAGTTGGTATGGTTTGATGGTAATATTGGATTAGTTTTGGGTGTAATTGAAGCCTTGGTTGTGTTGGGAGTGATCGACAGGTGGAATTGGACCCTGTCACCGCTACACGCGTCGTCATGCCCGGCAGTCCGCGTGGGGGTCTTCGCTCGGTCCAAAATATTTCTGGAACCGGTCCAAGCAGAACCGACCTGCCTGCCCAACCCGAACCGCTTTGACCCGACTCATTGACATTGGTCAGAGTTGACCGTTGACCGGTCAGACCATTGACTTTTTCTAATCTGACCATTGACCGTTCACTTTGACCAAAAAAAGCCAAAATTTTTGAAAAGCCTTATTTTATGTTTTTTGACGTTCTGAGTCCGAATCTGAAGTCTGTTTTTACCAAATTCAAACCCGAAAGCCTTCGAATTAACCCGTAAACCCGAAAAAGTGCATATTTATTTAAGTGATTTTATTCAATTAATTTAATCGAAGGGTCAAGGACTAATTATTGTTATGGTATGTTAAAAGTACTCGAGGATCTCCTGACCATTCGACTGCTCAACCTGATTCCTCCTGATCCGTTCGTCCGCGAGAGCCCGTGAATATTTGTATAGTTTTGTAACCCTGTTAATTATTCAGGTTAGAAAATTATTCCAAATATGACCCCGTCTAGTCGAAGAGCCTAGTGAAGTTGATGCTTGATAATTTTTTCATGACTAATTTCTTTTTGCGAGGTGTGTTCCTTGTGTGCAATATAACTGTTTTAAATATCTATTTGAAATTTCATGTGCACATGATTGTTTTCTCTTATTTGAAATATAATGTTTGATATGATTTGACTACTGTATAATTTGCCTGATTTGAAACTTGATTCCTAATTTACTGAAATGTAAAGCATGATTGCCTGACTTATGATTTCTGGTTACTATTTTACTTAACTGATTATTTGTTTGAACTTTGATTTACTGTTACCACTAGTTACTATCTGAAAAATGTTTTTATTCGGGGTACTCTGAGATCTGGTATGAATACTCTGCAGGTTCATTCGTTGTTGGTAATTCCTTGTATAGGTTCAACCCCGACTAGTAATTCTTTATGGATCTAAAGCGACACTTGGGTAAACTTTGCGGCCCCGAGATTTTTCTTGGGTAGGCCTCCGTGGCCTTGAGAACTTTCTTGGGTAGGCTCTCTGGCCCCAAGGTACTCCCTTAGGTTATGCAGTTCTGGGAATTAAATATGGTGTACAGTTGGAGGGTGATTATGAAATTTTAAACTAAAAAGGTTTTTGATGTTTTAATAAATGTGATCTGCACTGATTTTAAAATCTTAAATGTATGTTTTATTTCTGCACTGTTGGGACACACTGAGCCCC